GGTGGTTATTAAAGATAATTTTTTTATTTACCTTCTGTTAGTCTACTGAGTCTTACTCAGCCAAGGGAATGGAATCATCCGGGACCATGGGATCTTAGCCAATAGCACATGCAAGATAATCTGGTTTTGCTAAAATTCCAGTAGGAATTTTTAAATTATATCAAACTTCCTAAACATTTCTGTGGAATAACTGGGAAGTCGCTGTGAGCTGAGCCATTTACCATAGACAACGACCCATGTTAATTTCCTAAACAAGGAACCATGCTGACGCCTGTTTTATCACAATGAATGCATAGACTATGACTAATTTTTATAAAGTATTTTACAGTACAGTTATTATAATTTCTTAGATACTTCCACATGAATTTTAGTGGTTTATACTTGTATTTAAACTTAGTTTCTTTCTTTTGGCTTTGGATGGTTTTTTGTTTTTGTTTTTGTTTTTTTTTTGTAGCAGCATGAATCTGTCCTAATTTAAAGACAGTCCAGAAACCAAAGGTCACATCAGAATGGTCTTAAACTTTGTAAGAGGTACCTCTAGATATCTGGATGTGAATTTAAACTATAGAACAAGCTCACGCAATTACAATTTGAACCACGAAACTTTCAGATCAGAATAGTACAAAGTTTTTGGATGTTCACAATCAGAATAGGTTCAGGAGAACCTGACTTTTGACTTCTATATGACAAGCTAAAGCAATTACTCAGCCACTAATCTCATGCAACGGGACTCTCCCAGTAAAATGAATTCTACCCATGTCGTGCCAGGCAGCAGATCTTTAAATCTCTCCGTACTTACCTCGCATTCATAATGTCCCATGTCTTCATTGGAAGGGTTCTTGACTACAAGGACTACCATGCCACTCCGTGGTTCACTGAAAGTCTGGTATTTACTTGTGTCCTTCAACAATACACCATCTTTGTACCACCTGCATGTGGAAAACACTGAATCTAAGGCAGGAAACAATATGCAGTGTCAAGAAGTACCCAGCTCAGTGATTCATCTGTCAGACCAGTGGGAAAGCAACTCAAGAGTTAATCATTAGACAGACTTCTGAATCCTGGAAGATAGGTCTATGAGGGGGTAGATAGTGCAGTAGAAACTGCACAGGCTTATGAGATTTGTCATAAGTCAATGCAGGGAAAAGGGCTTCAAATCATGAGAAGATATGCTGAGCTTTTTGTCTGAATACCCTAGACTGATTGCTGTTAAAATCAGTTCAGGTGTAAGGCAGGGAGGATAAAGAAATGAGAAAATGTTGTCAGGGTCTTAGATCTCATACAGTCTCATATCACGGATTATCTGCAGGACTTCTTTTCAGATGCTTGCTAGAATAAATTGTTAAGAATCTCAAGAATGTTGGGATTGGGGAAAGCCAGCATTGGGATGGGGTTAAGGTGGAAGACGTAGAGAAAGAAGGGTCATAACTTTGAAAGAAAGGGCAGGAGACTCTCCTGATCATGAAATATGGGAAATATGGGATTTGTTCCAGTGTAACTTGAAGAACTGACCTGATTTGAGGCCTAGGTGCTCCTTCAATAGTACAGGTAAACTGAGCATCTTCACCCTCAATCAAATAAGCATTTCTAACCTTGTTCACAAACCGTGGTGGCACTGCAAAGATAAATGTAGGTAGTAGCTGAAAATATGACCAGATATGAAGGATGTGTCCCTGATCAGGTAATTCTCATTATGTCTACACACAAGACACTAAAGACCAAACTTTTTGACCTAAGAACAATTGATGGTACCTGTACGCCAAATGATTTAAGTATTATTCAGTATATGATATATAGAACTTCTGGAATGTCTTAATATTCACATTTAAGGCATTATATAGCAGACCCCTTTAAAAAAATGCATCTGTGCTAAACTTTACCTTGAACAAGGATCTTTCCTAAGGTACTGGCATTTCCAGCAGGGCTGGAAGCAAAGCACATATACTGTCCTGAGTCAATGCCTGTTAGGTTGTCCAAGATCAATGTGCAGGAGCCATCAGGATCTTCTATTATAATGTGATGGGGATCCACCTCCACAGGCTTTCCATCTTAAAGACAAAGGGAATTTTTTTTAATGACTTAGTTTTAATAATGCTTTCTCCTTGGGAATTACATCCAGCTTTTCGACTTGAGAGGACCAAGAGCATACAGCTTGCTTTATTGCCGCTGATGTTGGTAGTTAAGGAATGAGCTCTTCATCTTCGTCCAGGTCTCTACAAAACATCCTCTGGGCAAAGCACTGTTGAGGGACCTCATCAGTACTCATTTAAAAGTGAAATAATGACATCAGTACTCATTTAAAAGTGACATAGTTTAGTGTGTGGTGTCCCTGCTCATGGCAGGGGGTTGGAACTAGATGATCTTAAGGTCCTTTCCAACCCTAACTATTCTATGAATCTATGATTCTATGAAATTCTCCCAAAATACATGTCATGCAGTTATAGCTCTGATTTGCTAGTCAAAGGAACACCTCCAAAGTGACTGTAAAGATAGAGAACACTTCATTACAAGGCATGAACTTCTAGCAAAGCTGGTTCCTCTGCAATACAGTAATATTTGTCCACACAGCTGCCTGTGCTATGACGTGGAAACATCTGAGCTAGTTAAAAGAAGTTGTTCATTTACTAGAAGTTGTCTAACTGCCACAAGATGTGGCTTACTAGGGGCTAACTGACAAGCTGAAAAAGGAGGGTATATTAGCTCATAGGAAGATCTGTGTTTCTTGGGTTGCTTAGTAGCTAGCTTTAAGACTAGACTTGGGTATCTATGTGGTCAGCTTTTAGATTAGCTACTAAAGAATTAGTACAAAGCAACGCAGAGAACAAATCTGGAGGATGCATTTCATTACTTGCTGCTCATACCTTTGTACCAGCTGACAGATGGCTTGGGAGCTCCTGTAACTTTGCAGGCCAGCTTGACTGTCTCTCCCAGCTCAGCTGTACAGTCCGCCAGCTCTTCCTCAAAGTCTGGAGGTACTGAAACATCAGAATAAGCATGTTAGTCTGGAGGAAGGGGATCTATCCATGGCACAGCTGCTGCAAAATAGGAGAAGGATAGGTATAATTTTTGCAGAACTGAGGTTCACAATGGAAAGCTTTTAGCAGCTAATTATTTCCCAAGTGACATGCTGTCCTTGCTTATCTGAAACAAAATTTAGTCCATCAAGTGTCTGTTGTTGGTTATAAAGATAGGCCATAAAAAAAAAAGAAAAGAAAAAAAAGGGAAAAAAAGATTTGTTGCTGATCTGGAAGTATTTTGGGTCATGATTTTAATAAGCACATCCATTATTCACACACCACAGAGCTGTCACAGTTAAAATAATTCCCCAATTAAAATGTAGCCTTGAATCCAAACTAGTAACCTGTTGGTCTCCATAAAATAAAATCTATGCTTTGTTAAGGGACTTTTATTTTAACTTATCACTACCATATGAAACCATGCAAAATTAATCTTATAGTCTTCCTCATTAGAACACTTCATAAAAAGCACAAAAATAAAATGCCCAGACTTTTTTTCAGTGTATTTACACTAAACCCAATTCTCTTCTAGCACTTTAGGATGCCAAATTTCCTTACGCTGTAAAGGATACCATTTGTAGCCTATGCCTGGACAATAAAGATGTAATATCCCTGCTGATAAATTCTGTGGATAGAAAATTGGTGGAAATTCAAATGACAGTGTGGACAAGCAGCCAGAATGACACAATAAAAACCCAAAGCAAATGCATCTGCCCAGATGCAGCAATGTAAGCCAGAAGTCAAGTGGAGGATTTGGTACCTAACAAAGTCACAGGGGCCTTTATACTGGTATGAGTAGGACTCCGGTCAGGTCCCAAGGCTACTTTTCCCTTTGGAGTCTGATGCTCTTGATGCAATAGGCTGGGGCCTTTATTACCAAATTCTGTGGTCATCTATCCTTCTGCAATCCCTGCCAGATCAAATACATCTCTAGTTCCAACTCCAAAATTTGTTTTAGAAGTTTCACTAACTTGTTTCTCTTCCCCATTGACACATATTTTCTGGGCTGTTTTGCTGGAAAACAACATCCTCTGCTTACTGACAAAAATGTATGAAGACGGGGAACAGAACAACCCCAGCAATCTCTGACTGATCCTCCATCAAAGGCAACCCTCATCAGCTGAAATGGCCAGGGATAGCCAGCTCTTCTCGGCTCATCAGCCTGTGTTTTCCACACTTTTATTATGGACATTGAAGAGTAATTAGAAAGTTACTCATGTGCTCTGCTATTGTTTAAAAACCTATACAGGTCCTGTGGGACCCCTGTCATGCGAACATAATCACTTCAGTGATAAACTGTCTTGGTTCCCTTGATGGTAAATGGGGATTCAAACGCCACTGTCCCATCCTGATAAAGATGCCTTCCCCATCTCAGGTGGAGGATTTTAGACTGTTATAACCATTCCCATTAAAGCTTACTGCTTGCTGTCAAGTCCTGTCAAGTCATGTGAGATATTTACAGCAGTGTGTGATGTGATTGAAGGGAAACCTCCAACCCAAGTTCAGTTTAAGAGGTGGCAGATGGCCCTAAATGTTTTTTCTTCCTTCTTTCCTAAATCCCTTCCCGACTCAGGGAGACCACCCAAGAAAAAACAAGAAGGTTTTTTCATTTTTTTTTTTTTTTTTTTTTTTGTT